TATTAAGAAAGGTTTGGTGAAGTTGCGCGAACGCATCCCTCGAGTTACTTTTTGGAATTAAAAACGCAATTATGTTACGGGAACGTATACATAATCACAACACTAGTCTAAATCGAGCCTAAAGCAAACTACGAGTGTTCATTTTTATTATAAAAATAAATTTGGCCAAAGTTGCGCGTGCTTAAAACAAACTACGAACATTTGTCATTTTTGTATGATTAAATGGTAGGTGGCGCGCCTCGGACTATATGAGCTAATTTAATTTAATAACCTCCGAAAATCTATTTTTATTGAGAAGATTTGTTCGAAGTTACGCGAACGCATACTCCGAATTGTCTTTAGAATTGTAATCATGTCACGCGAACGTGTCCACAACCACGACAGTATATTAAACGTGCCTAAAGAAACTAACGCGTTATCAACTTTGCGAGGGACCTGAAAATTAGCTAAATGGCACGCCTCAAATTTTAAGTATTTTTTAAAAGAAATAATTATAAGAGGGCCACGCATTTGTCATTTTTATTTGGCACGGCGCATCCCGACTTTAATTAAAAGGACGTGACTAGTTCATCAAAGAACGTAAGGGGATTCCTACTTATGTTATGCCAAAGCTTAAACTAATAATTTAATAAAAAATGAACTGGTAGCAGACCACCCACATTTGATTGTGGAAAGGCCGAGTTAGTCAAAAACCCACGTCTGGTTGCCCATTACTGCAGGCTCAGCGTGTGAAATAATTGGGCTCAACTTGAAGCCCAGTTTGGCAACCTGATTGTGGAAGGGGAAGATCATCGAAATTAGGCCAATGATGACAGCCCAATACACGACCCAACAAATAGGTTTGAAGCAAATTGCATTATTCAAGAAATTATGGGGTTGAACAAATACGGATAATCTTTGAATCAAATGCAAAGCACATTTTTATGCTAACATAGGTTCCAAAATGAAGATACAATCCTAGTTGCAACAACACACCTTTACACAAATTATTCACCAATTAACAAAACTCAAAGGTCCATTCCCCCTAGTTTATATTTAATTCTGATTCAAACATAACATATTTAAAACATACCACATGTCATAAAAACTTGCCAAAGAAAAACTAAATATGAAAGGTTAATCTGAATCTGAAAATTTCAAGTCAAAAACCAAGCACAAACCCCATTCAAAAACTATTTTAAGATAAAAAAAGTGCTCATACATGAGCAACAACAGAACTGAAGGACAACTCTAAAACCATTGTGCTGTATTTCAAGCTATATAGGAACAGATCTAAAATGGGCAGTAGGAAATAAATCCAAACCAAGCTTACTAGACCAACCACATGAAGGGTCTAAACTTGTAATTTGAACCACAACCATGAAACGTACATCCAAATCATCTAATCTTAACTAATTAATTAAGGATCATAATCTTCAATTAACACATGATTATACGAGGTTTACAACATTCCTGAATCACCTATATTCAAACAAAGTTCACCCAACATTTAAATCAAATATACATCTAGGAATGAAATATCCAAAATAAACTAGACTGAAAGCATGAACAATAAAATGACAGCATCGAGCAGAAATTACAACAAGAAATTAATGTTTTTCCTTTAAACTCCAGCTCGATTCACAGATCTTTACACAAACTTAATCAGGCTTCATTTCCAACATAGTTTCAAGAGAATACCTGGTATGTAGAACAGAAAAATGGGATAAGCAATCAACAACAGCAAACAGCAAAATACAGCAGCAAAAAGCTCAACACAGTAGCTTCAACACCTCAATCCAGAAATCCCAGCAACACGGAGAAAACCAGTAAAAATGGAGAAGAAAAATAGTCCGGAAATCTCTCTTTGTTTTCTCTTTCTAGCTTTGAACTCTCTCTGGTATTCTTCCGCTCTCAATATTTCAGAAAATTTGGTTCTATCTTTTTTACTCTCTCCAAAATGAATTCTGCCCCCGTATATCCAGTGTATCCAGAGTGTATATCGAGTGTATACCGCTCTCTCCGCCCCCTTGAATCTGATTTTCAGCTCCCTTAAATGGGCATTCAATTAGTGCATTTTCCACTACCAATTCAACTTTTCATTTCTTTAATCATCCACTTAATTGTCCACTCAATTAGTGCTTTTAGTTAATTTGATAATGCAAATACTACCCTACCACTATTAGGAGCTTCTCAATTAGTAACTACTTGCACAAAATTATACTAATCAGTGGATTATTATACATATTCAACCAAATTATTGAACTAATCCCAGTTATTCTGCCTAAGTGATTAAACGAGATACCATTTCAAAGTATTCTGATATCCTAATTATTAATTAATTCCAAAAAATGTAAAATCAAATCTTAATCCAATGCTATATTTTTGTATTTTTAATGCATTAATAAAATTAAACATGCCCACAAATATATGCAAACAATCAGAAAAAATCACGCAATAATTCCTAAAAATAACAAATAATCAAGGCCAAAACCTAATTTTGGGAATTATTTTGGAGTAATTCGTATGAGGCAAAATCACGTGCTCACAGCTTGTTCTCATAATAAATTGATTATACCAGCTAAAGTTGGGACTAATCCCCCTGAATTCTAAAATATATAAAAGGTGAATATGAGCCCATTCACCTATCATGTGAGCCACTTATACATGCATATATGAGATGGTTACATGCGTGTTTATTGTCAACCCGCAGTTTGACATTTGAAATTGTTTTTCTCAATTAAGAGCTAATTTTTAGATTATGCAATCAAGACAGTTTATCTTGATAATGCTGGTTTATATCCAAGCTGGTTTAGCATTGAATACCTCCTATTAATGGTTAAACTATTTCTTATGAGAATAAAGCTTCATGTGTTGGTCTAAGAATTTCTAAAGTGCATACATCGACACTTGTATGCATAAGACCAACAAGATATAATAAGTCATCCCCTCACAATAGGTTTAAGATTAGAAACCAAATATTTTTAATATCTAATAACTTTTGATGTGTGATATTTGATTAATTTCTCTACCACAATATACAAAGATACGTTCCCCAAAAAAGATTGGAAATATATGTTAGTTTTTTAAACATTTAGGGAATGAAATACGCAGCTGAAAAATATGTTGTACGAATCAAATTATCATTAGTATGATCCTCATTCAGAAAGTAATTCAAGTCAAATGTCAGAAGCATTTGCTGATCCAAATTAAATATCATATTTTAGCTACAAATACTCATATTATAATTAAAGTCCCAGAATGATAGAGTTTACTACACACATGAAGGGTAGTAGACCAATCGGTTCCAAAGGTAACAATCCTTGAAAAATAATAGGAGCAAATGATCATAATGAGGAGGAAATGAGCTCTAGAAGATCCTACGACATAATATTGCATGAAACTCCGGAAGAAGTTCAAGTACCTGAAAATAAAGAAAGTGATGAGATCTCAATAAGTTATGTTGCTTGTGAACCAATACAAAATGATCGTCGAGTAGTGCACGATATTATAAAAGATTGTGGGGATCAGCTCCTGTAGTCCATACGCCTGAATATGTGTTACCATTTAAATGCATGCCATAATCTATATGACTCATTTGGTCAAATTTATATGAAGATCCATGAAGGATTTAAAATACTTGAAACATATAATTCAAAGTCTCGAGAAATATATTCGATCAAATTACAAAATTTTTTGTACGATTTAAAGCAATCTGGGCGCACGTTGTATACTCGCCTCAGTGAATATTTGCCGAAAGAAGGTTACATAAATGATATTATTTATCCATATATTGCTATGAAGAAAATATCATCCGAATTTGTTATACTTGCTGTTTATGTTGATAATATAAATTTTGTTGGAACTCTAGAAGAGCTCCAAAAGCCAATTGAATATCTTAAGAAAGAATTTGAGATGAAAGATCTTGGAAAGACAAAACTTTATCTTGGTCTGCAAATTTAACATTTAGCAGTCGGGATGTTGATCCATTATTCTGCCTATACATAAAGGGTCTTAAAATGCTTTTACATGGACAAAGCGTACCCATTGAGTATGCCAATGATTGTTCGATCACTTGGACTGAACAAGGATCCGTTCCAACCTCCAGGAGAGGATGATGAACTCCTTGGTCCTGAAATACCCTATCTCAGTGCAATTGCTGCACTTATGTATCTTGCTAATACTACAAGGCCTGACATAACATTTTCTGCTAATTACTAACAAGATATATCTGTTCTCCTACATGAAGGTATGGGAGTGAGAGTAAGCATATATTGCAATATTTAAAGGGAACTCTTAATATGAGTTTGTTTTATGCTAACAAAGGTAGTGCATATCTCGTTGGTTATGGAGATGCAGGTTATTTATCTGATCTCCGTAAAGCTCGATCTCAAACTGGCACATTCATTCAAGTGACCCAGCAGATTTATTCGCTAAATCTTTACCAACTTTAACTTTTAAGAAGATGGTACACAAGATTGGAATGCGGAAACTCAAATATTTGAAACAAGATTTTCATCAGGAGGGAGTAAAATACGCGCTAGACTCTTTTTTCCTTACTAAGATTTTTCTCACAGGATTTTTCTTGTAAGATTTTTAATGAGGCAGCTAGCAATGCGTATTACTAAATATGTGTACTCTTTTTTCTTCACTCTGATTATTTTCCCATGGATTTTTTTCTTAGTAAACCTTGACACGTAATAATGAGCATCCAAGAGGGAGTATTATGAAAATATTATATTGCGGATGCTCATTTAATACCCCGCTTTTATTTAATACTTCATTAAAGTTTATTGCAAGCAACTCAATAAAATAACTTGTAGAACCTTATTATTAAACATGATGATTGCGAGCAGCTTATGCATAGTAAAATGCCTCCCAACTGATTCTTTTCTTTGATAAATAGAGAAGACTTATGGACATCAATTTAAAATTTAATAATATATTTAATTTACAGTTTTTATTTTATAACAAGGTTAACCTTAATAACCAAAAGGTATTGGGTACTATTTAAGAATACAAGGAAACATTTTGAAAACGCACTCAAACTCAACTGCATACCGCCGCTAGTTTTTATCTCCGGCGAGTGGGTGATGTTAAGGTGCCCGACGGCAGTTAGGACTCTGGGAAATCTGATGGAAAATTATTCTCAGATTCCTTCTGCCCACCAAAAGGCCCATTTTCACTATAACCACACTGATTCTGCCAACTTCTCCAGATGGACTGCAAAGTTAGTTACTAAATTTCCCATTAACACTTCACCTTTTTTCCTTTCCTTTTCCCAACTTTTTGGCGTTTTCCTTTTTTGTTCTATTTAGTTCTGGAATGAAAATTTTGTTGCTACTGTTAACAGCAAGATTCAAGCTGGGCTTTTTTTAGCTGTATTCAAGATTGAATTTTGGTAGTTCCATATTGGATTTTATTGCACTCAACTATGTCGGTTGTGTTTGATTCTTCGATTCGAGTTAGTTGTGTTCAAGATTGAATTTTGATAGTTCCATATATGATTTTATTGCATTCAACTATGTGGGTTGTGTTTGATTCTTCAGGTGGAGTTACTTAAATTGCTGCTTCAACTATAATGCTACATTTTTCAGAGGATTGTGTCTAATGCTGGTTGCTGGGATGGGGTTTTAATTGTGTAATGTTCTATTTATATGAAAAATATGTAATAATGGTTATGCATATAGCTAGGATTCTATGATTTATATGCAATTTAGCTAATGGCTTATATTTGATTTGGTAGGGAATGTTACCAGTTCATGTATGCAAGGCCGTGGCACAAAGTTGTTGACTTCTATGCGGACATGGTGAAAGGCCACACCTCATTGTCAGGATTATTTGGAAAAGAGGTGCACACTGGCAAACTTTGCTGTAATGCTTAAACTGGTTGTTTGGGGAATTTTTTTGTTGTATTTATTTGTTTATTGCTTTACTTATAAGTTTTTTGGTAACGGAATACTGTGAGGGACTTTCTCAAGATGAGCTAAACTAAGACTAATTTTCATAAAGAATTTCTTGAGATAAGTTCAAATACTTTATGGGTGCGATACTGTTAAAACAAGTGTCTTTAAATCTTAAAAGCTTCCACTCATTTGGTTCCAAATGTTTGTCTTTCCTATGCAATTTTCTTCTTTATTAAAATTCAGTGCCATATTAAAAGTTCTTACTGTCATTTATTTCATTTGGATTGCTTCTTATGCAAGTTGTCTACAATATTTAATGGTATAATATACTTAATGTTTATATACTTGTACTTATCTTGGAAATTGCCATCGCAGACACAAGCTGAGCATGAAGATGCTGAAATTCGAGAGGACCATGAGAAATCTGAGGTAGTTAGTTTTCCAGTTAAAGATAGGGGTGGTAGATGGGATAGAGTAACTTTTAAGATTGTCCTTTCCTATCATGGAGGTTCTTTCGATGGATGGCAGAAGCAGCCTGCTCTGAATACCGTCCAAGGGTAAGTATTTTCTAACAAGGACATTCACTGGGTTTGTTGCTGTTGGTAAGTATTTTCTAACATGGACATTAATATCATGAATGGAGTGTCACATGCTCCATGGTCTTTCATGAGTAACTGATAGTTTTTGACTTGACATTCTTTTAGCAGCATGTATGCTCTCAATTACTTTATAGTTGTGCATGACACTGTCAATGGTTAAGTTCAAGTTGCTAGATGTGTTATCATATCTTGGATGAACAATTTTATATCTTCAGTAGTTGACTTTATTTTACATTTTTTCGGTTATCTTAGGGGGATATGGATATGCTATACCCTGCATTGGCAGTTGGTTTTCAAGCTACATTCTTTTTGCAGATCCCTACGGAGTTATATTGAAGGAATTCTGAATGATAAAAAAACAAGATTTAAAAAGAAAAAACCATAGATCCTCATAGAAGACATCCAGTGAGAGAACACCAGTAATAAGGTCATGCAGAAGACAGAGGTGGTGCTGGACTTTTGGCTGCCTTCTTTGGACTTTTAGTTTTTCTTATTGGATCAGTGATAGTAGGTCCAGAGGGTTCTTCTGCAAAATTCTCATGCATGTATATTTATCTTTTTAACGTGATAAGAGCTGATTTTATTTGAGATCAAACCAACTGATAACTTCTGTTGGTATGGTGTTCATGTGTCGTGTGCTCTGCTTTATTCAGATTGGTCGAAAGATCTCTAGGTCAGTTTGTTGATGAGAGGAAGGCTCAATTATTAAAAGATAAGAACTTACCATTAGAAGCATGCACTGTAGTTGCTGGGCGTACCGACAAGGGCGTTTCAGCCTCTCAACAAGTTTGTTCTTTCTGTAAGTCACCTAGCTTGGTCTACCATCCTTTCACTTATATGAATCAGTTTCCAAAATTCTCATCTTAATGGCCACTGTTGTTATAAGGCACGATTAAGCCCTGAAATTAGGTGCAGTATGCGCCGGGCGCTTGTACTTGCTTCAGTTGTGCTTTAGTGTAGACACCTAGGCGCTTTGGCGAGCGCGCCAGCGCCCATGAACTCCCTCTTGAAAAGGGACATATTAATGGTTAAAAAAACTTAATGGATGATAATGATAGTGATTTGGTCATTAAGTCTGATTTGGATACTTAAAACTTCATTATTGCATTTTTATTAGAAATTTAAAGTGATTTTCGAACTTGATTAACATGCTTACTATTCATATATTTTTACTCAAGTACAGTTGTTGCATAATTTGTGTGTGTGTAGTCTTGTATTTTTCTTGCATTGCAGATATATTTGAAATTTAAATTATTTCTTCATTTGCTCCTTTCATCACTAAAGCATGCACTTTAATCGCACTACATGCTTAAAGCTCTAGCATATCTCGGCACATTTCTGTACTTTTCGCCTTGGCAACACTATATCTTGATATCTGTTTGCTTTGTACTTTAATTTTGATGTGTCCTGTTTTTTTTGCTTGTGCCATGAAGGATATGATGTTGACTTTAATTTAGCAGTTAAATTGAACTTAAAAAAGATGCAGTATACTGTCTTGTGAAGTTTGGATTGTGCAATCCCTTAATCTGTTAGGGGCCTTATTTAGTGTTGCACATTACTTTTTTTCTCTTACTCCAGATCAAGAACGCCACTTGCCTGTTCATATGTTTTTAGATCATTACCTCTCATGCTGCTACTGCTGCTACTACTAGTACTACTAGTCTACTACTACAACTAGTACTACCACCGCCACCACCACTACTCCTACTGCTGCCACTACTTTTACTACTAAAAATGCCCTATACAACTTGGAATCTCCTTTTAACCCTAAAAATACCCTTTGACCAAACATTCTTTTTGCATCTTTTGAGCCTCGAAACTTGAAAATGAGCCCTAAATTTGTTATGTCCCCTGCCCCATAGTAAGTTGGGCAAACTTCAGCATCTTTCAGTCCATTGGTGATGCCACATATTCCTCTTTGTGAGGGGTTGTTCTATAAAACAGTGGATTATCGATTCAAATGCATACCAATTTAAGAACTTGAACAATAAGGTTGAGTAAAAATTCTAAGTTGCTCTGACACGGCAATTTTGGTGCCGCACCCGTGTCGACATGATACTAGTATGGGTGTGGGTATGGGATCCGTATCGGATCTGGTCAAACAATTTTGGGTACTTTGACCACGGCGGACGGAAAAATTTGAGACGAGATACAATATGATTCCCGTAATCAGAACCAAAACTAGGGTAAAGTTGAAGAAAAGAGGATACCTTATCTAGGAATTCAATCCTTTACTTATCTACAACTTGAGAATATAAAAGAAATCCATATTTTACAAGCTATACGTAAGTATTCTACAAAATTTCTCATAAATTAGAGACTTTTTTTTTTTTGAATTATTTGTAGCTGGATCCCGGCACCTGTATCCGTATTAGGGTCCGTATCCCCGAATCTTTGAATTTAGATCTTGAAGGATCTAACCTCTAGATCCGGACCCGTGTCGGACACCTGCACCGTGTCTGAGCAACTAAGAGTAAAATGACTAAAATGTATACTCTTTTATCAATAATACATTATTCTCCCAAAAATCATATGTTGGACACAACAGCTGAAGATCTGGACAAATTAATATCGAGAGATTTATCCAAGATTGAAGAAGAGGAACTCTGAAACCTAGTAACAATGCCAAAATATTCCTTCTGTGGGGTCTTTCTACAAAAAGGTATGTGGCTTATTTGCTGAATACCTACTAATTTAAAGTGGCTAAAAAGCTTAAATTCTATTTTTTAATAAAGAAGTTCCACAGATGGCATCAAGAAGATGCATTAGGTACAAAAGAGAAAGCTAGCTCCATTACATAAGAGGTTCCAATCATAAGTTCAGGGAGCTAACAAAATCCAACAACTGATCAAAATTGTTCACAAAAGACAAATTGCTCCAGCATAAACGATTGAGTTGACATTTAGCTTTTAGAGAGTGACTTGAAGTTGAAACTCCATTAAAACATCTGCGGTTCTTTCCGTCCAAACACACCAAAAGATACTTTCAGGGATCATTTCGCAGATTTTTTTGATGGGTTTTCCAACTTTCCGTGAAATTCAGCTAACAAGTGCATTTTTGACAATCTCTGGCATAACCCAATTGAGTCCAAAAATTGAAAAGAACATGCTCCATAAGCCTGCTGTGATAGTACAGTGAAGAAATTAGTGACTGATGTTTTCTGCACTCTGTTGGCACATGTAGCATCTGTTTACAAGCTGAAAGCCTCTCTTGAGTCTTGATAAGGTTGTCTTGAGTCAGACATGCCTTGTTCAGTGTTTCCCAGCAGAAGCAGATAACATTGGCAGCTTTGTCTTCCATATCAACTTCCATGGCCATGTATATCAGTCATACCATCTGCTGAATATATCCTGAGTTAACAGTGAATGAACCATCACTGGTTCTACACCACCTTATTTTCTGTATGTCTTGCATGTTCATTCTATTATTTTCTATTTTGGCACGAAGATCAAGAAGGTCATCAAGCTCCCAATCTTGTATATTCCTCCTAAATTGAATATCCCAATTGCTGTCACCTCTGTTATTTGCAATGGTCGATCTGGATCTCAGGCAATCTGAAAAAGGATCGGATAATCATGTTGGAGAGTGTTGTTGACCATCCAGATGTCTTTCAAAAGCTACTGTGCATTCCACTTCTAATCTTGAAAATTGTTTTGTTGAAGAATTCAGACCTTGAGAGAGGATCTGTGAGGTTTATTACACCAATGGCTATGTTTCCCATATTTAGCTGTAACTATTTCCTTCCACAAGCCATGATATCTTGGTTATATATATCTCCATAACCACTTTATAGACATGCATTTGCTGTGGATTTCTAGATTATTGATACCCAAGCCACCTTTATCTTTGGGTTTAATGACTTTGCTCCATTTAGCAAGATGGAATTTGTGGCTTTGGCTATTTCCTTTTCATAGGAAGTTCCTTCTGATCTTGTCTAGTTGTTTGAGAACCTTACAGGGGATGGGTAAAAGAGTCATAAAGTAAGTAACGATGCTGTCATAAGTCATAACACAGATAAAAAACTTAAAAACTCTTTTAACCAATAATACATTATTGTCCAAACTCCTATGAATAGCATCTTCGACTTGATTAAGAAAAGTTCCCAATTTTTTTTCCATTGAAATACTTATACAAAAGTTGCAGATGACTAGGTCGAGAATATATTAGTATAATCAGGTGCAAGAACCCTCTTTAAAGTTACAGAATTGAGAAATTGAATAGCAACAAAATTCAGTGTGTCCAGTTGACCTGTTCCTTTGAACTTGGCAGTGCCAGTGGTGGAACTGACAAAGTTGACATTCAAAGGCTAATTAACATGCTATAAATACTTCTCATGTCAATTTTCGTTAAGGATATCATGGGCATATAGCCAATCATAAAATCATGATTACATTCATATCCAAAAAGCTTAATGTTCAACTTGTGAATTTTTTTTCCTCCTTATGTTTTTTCGAGATAAGTATATTGGTTTACTTCTATGTTTAGATACTTGGAGAAAGGACATTAAGATTCAGGATGTAAAAGATGCCATTGATAAAGCAGCACCAGGAAAGATCAGGGTGGTTTCTCTCACCAAGGTAATTGATTCTTTGGTTTGTTGAATGCATGATGTCTGTTGGGGAAAAAATATTTTAAGTTTTTTTGGTTAAATACAGCTGTTACCATTTAGATTTTCTTTTATTTGGTGAATGCCCATAAAGTTTTAAAAGTAGCGTTAAACCATTTTTTCTCCAAAGTCACGTGGAAAGCCCATTTTGGCTTAACAACTGTCTAAATCCCGTGGGTAACTGATTGAGTATCATGTAGTCTAGGGGCACAAGTGAGAATAAAACTATTCTTGCCATTTATGCGTACACATACAAAAGACTGATGAACAAAAAGAGAAGCCCTCAAACTTATCAACAAAAAAAAAAAAAGAAGAAGAAGAGAAGCCCTCAACTGCCTCATTTATGGTGATGACGGCATTAACAACTGAGGAAGTGGAGTTGAAAGAACAAAGGAAAGCTTTGGGAAGAGCATCCTTATTATTTAGTTTCTGTTGTGGGACAATTCTTACAATCTGCTGTGCTGGACTTACCGGATCCTTTCTCCAAGATAGCCATGGTTGTTCTACTAGGCCTTATGCTTTCAAAAATGAGTTTTTGTGTTGAAATTTCATTGTTCTTGTTTGTTTTTGGTTTTCTTCTTCTCGACAGCTTGAATGATGTTCTCTTCATCTCTGGTTCTAGTCTGCTAAATGGTGATTTTAGCCATGTGTATGCAAAAGGGGGTTTCTTTGCTATCTATCCTTCTCCTTTTCACTAGTAGATTAAATCAGTAACTTCCATTTGCAAAGCATTGTTCCGCTGCTGCCAAATTGTCATGGAAGAGGCTGACGCTCACATTCACCAATCTCTATTAGCATTTGGAGTATGATTGGTAGGAATGACTTTTGCAATTTGTGAATCACTAATGATTTAATTGCAACCTTTTTGAGTTAATTGGGCATACTACACGTGCATATTTCGGACAGGTTTGGTTCAAAAGAATCAGTATGTTTTGAAGGAAAAGCAACATCTGCCTCTTCTGTAAAATCTTGATGTCTTTACTTGTTGAATTTATGAGTAGGATGTCATTATATTGATAGCAATTTTGGGTTCTTACACTCCCAGCATAGTTTAAAGCGATCCAGTCCATCTTTTTCTGCATAGGAAGTACCTACTTTGTGCTACAGAAATCAATAGATTTTTTTTACTTGTCAAAAAAGGGTGTATTACCGTCTGCACAACATCAATTATACCTTCCTTTTTCCTTTTTATCTGCGGATTAGGTGTAACAAAACTAAATTTTTCTTGCAATAGGTATCACGAGATTTTCATCCCAACTTCTCTGCAAAATGGAGACACTATTTATATTTATTCCCTATCGATGATGCATTAAATGGAGAGCAAGATGGTCAAATGTGGATCAACAGTTGCACTGATGTTCATCAACAGAATGAATGTGGTAAAAGTGCAATTGACGAAAGTAATGTAGATGTAATGGATGATGACAATGACGAGCTGGTGCATGGAAACAAACCAACCAAGTTTAAAGTAAGCAAGGTTAACCGGCTTTTGGGTCAGCTTGAAGGAAAGCTTTTATCTTACAAAATGTTTGCACGAGATCTTAAAGCTTCAAGGAACACGTAAGTTTTGTTTTCCCATTATGGTTCTTTACTTCTTCTTGCAGTGATTCTTTGTCCCTTATTACACTAAATCACAGATGAAATTAAATTCTGTTGATCTTCAACATATCTGTTCAGTTTGACATCTAAATCTCTCATTCTAGATGCTTAATGAACGGCTAGTACTACTGAGATTTTTGTATATGAAGTTGAAACAGAACAACAACAACAACAACAACCCAGTATAATCCCACTTAGTGGGGTCTGGGGAGGGTAGTGTGTACGCAAACCTTACCCCTACCCTGGGGTAGGGAGGCTGTTTCCAAATAGACCCTCGGCATCCTTCCCTCCAAGAACTTCCCACCTTGCTCTTGAGACATACCCAGTATTATCCCACACCATGGGGTCTGAGGAGGATAGTGTGTACGCAGACCTTACCCCTACCTTGTGAGGATAAAGAGACTGTTTGCAATAGACCCTCGACTATGAATTTGAAATAGAGAGAACATCAAAAATCATATCATGCACGTATCCATTGTATTGTTATTATTATTATTATTGTTGTTGTTGCTGTTGTCGTCGTCGTCATCATCATCATATAATAAGTTAATAACACCTAGAAATAATTACTAACACTAGTACCATTATTATTTTACGTTATTATGATAATATTTACAATTAGTCACGATCTTCTCCTGGGAGAAGAAACTATATTGAAAAAGCACTTTAATCTAAGGTGTCACAAGACGATTGTGATTGTTGCACCATCTACATCAAATCATTTTAGCTTCGGATCATTGATCATGTCCCTAGAAAAGTAAAGTGAAGTCAGCGAAGAACGAAAATAAATGTGTACTTTATGATTTCCAGTACCAAGCCATAGGAGTAGGCATGTTCAGCTATAAAGTTACATTTCACATTGTATTCATACTTAATGGTAGACTGATGACCAGATTTTTGTATCTTTATGAATGTCACAGTGGTCCACCAACAGAGTGCTTTGTCTTCCATGCTAGAGCTATTGAAATCTCAATACCATGTGCAAAGGTATCAAACAGTTACTATAAGCTTGTTGGTTTTGCTTATTTAAATTGTGGATTTTCACATGCTTCTTGTTGAGAACACGTGTCTTCATATGCATGAAGATCCATGTTCCTTTATCTGAATAACTTATAGAAGTCTTCTTTATTGTAGTGTGGCTGTTTAGAAATGCAGTGAATAGTATGTCTATATATGTTAATTTATCGATCAAATATGAGCAAGTTCTTAACTAAAGGCTTTTGAAGGTAAATTATCAGTTCTCTAGAACGTTTCTTGAAGACCATTTTTGATTAAAAGTTTTGGGTATACATCTGTAAAGCCGTTCCATTTGACTTTTTGCGTAAGTCTTTGCGTTTGACTTCTAACAACAAGCTGTCTGCTTTTATCTGATGCTTGATTTGGAGGAAGAGATTTGTGACTAATTTTTGGATTCTTATATTTAGGAACAAGATAATAGATCCTCATGATCCAAAATAAAATTAAAAGGCGCCAGAACATTTGGGATGCCCATTCCTCATGTGAGAGCGAGACCAGAGGATTCTAGGATTTAGTTGTAAAACGCTTTCTAGGAATAAGCATTTCCTACTGTTTTAGAATATGAAGGCACAAGAATCGGGGGGGGGGGGGGGGAAAAA